AGATCTAGGAGAGTTGTGCCAAGGATAGTTCCCTCATCAAAACAATCCGCCTGCTCATTGTTTGAGGTAACAAGGGCTGTCCTATGGAAATTTCATTGGAAAACCATTCCCCAGCCAAACGACAGCCCTGATCTTGTCCCTTCAGAATTTTTTTGTTTTGTTTTCGAAACTCAAACAACATTTAAAAGGAACAAAATTTGAATCCCTGGAGGATGCAAAAAAAACTGCCACTTTAAAAAATTCATCTTGGGGTAGTGCTTCAACCTGGAATGTTTTCAAAGAGCCCTGAAGACTATGAAGAGTGAACCTAATTTGGAGACCTCACCAGCTGTCCCTAAACATCACAATGCAAATACCATCTTTGGTGTTCCAGTTCACCAGAAAAATCCCCCACATGCAGTAAACACTATCCAGTCGTCAGTTAACTGTAATAACTTAGCCTTCAGTCTTCTGAGTTCTTGAATTCTGTTCACTGAGTTACAGCCAGATTCATACTAGATACATGTACAGGACGCATGTAAACTTGTTTGATTTTTAAAGCAAGTCATGCAGGTTTGTGATCAGAGCAGCAAGTTGTTGTCACTTTGCACTTTCATTGTCAATGTTAGCTATGACCCTCGTTGCAAATAAGCCAGAGCTGAGCTCTGGCTGGCTGCCTTTGAGTATAAGGCCCGTTGTTGTAGAAGTCACACTCCAATGGCTGGAGCTATGTTGTTGAGATGGCTGATGGGAACATCCCATCAGCTGAACCCAATACTTTTTAGATTCTACTTGAACTTCACTTTTGCAGCCTTGACAATGTTCTTATACATTCATACACATGCAAACACAAAATCCAAGACAATCCTGTCTGTGCCTCTAAAGTGAGGAAAAAAATAATATGGAAGACTATAGACACCGAAGTCATTTATTTCACATCTGTGGTGTCACATATCAAAACGAAGCTGATGGGTTTGTAGTGACTCAAGTTCTCCCATTGTTTCCCATAGCTTACCAGGTCAAGTCCCTGGCTATTCCATCTAATGAAGCCCACTGGCCTGACATGTAAGTCCAACCTAGATCAGGATCTTACTTAGACCATTGTGGATTTAGGAGTATCATCTTCTTGAAATTCAGTCTCCAGAAACTAGACATTAGAATGTTAGGGAACAAGCATATTACCTTGTGGATAAAAAAACATAAAGTTCGAGTTTAGTTTCAGTGAGCTGTTACATCTACTTAACATACAACAGGGAGGCAGCAGGTCATTCTGTTGCCCAGTGTCACCCCTGGTGACTGAGTATAAAGTGTGTGACCAGTGAGCAGCACAATGATCAAATCTGACTGTTGAGCTCAGGATCACCACCTGATTATTGGGTAGACCCACTTTCACAGCAGCTTAGAAACATGAAGATAAAGTCATCATCCTTTCCCTGAGGAGACGATGTCTTTCTGGTTCACGATGAAGGATTGTTGCTGTTTTCCAGGCGCTCTATTCATTACATTGTAATTGGTGATGTGTGTTGTGGGTATGCAGCCCTTCAAGGGATGGAGGAGATATTTTGTCCAGTAAATCTCTTCAGCGTACCAGTTTGTGGAGGGGATATGGACGGTAGGACAAGATCCTGCCTGTGGAATAAGGCCTGTCACCCCTCCATAGACCTTGAGGGAGGCTTGAGGAGACACATGGAAATAAGCATATGGAAGTAGGGGAATGGACAGAGTAATGGTCAGCGTCACTCACCTGAGAAAAGAACATGAGAGGATCTCAGCCCTGTAGTATGGCTTATGGAGAGCCACCACTAAGCCTTCATTTGTCAGCCAAGCTCCAACCACAGAGAGTTTGCCAAGTTTGTGTTATGATGTTGGCTTGTCTTTATATTTTCAATTCTCTTTGGATATTTTAGTAGTTTTGTCATTTTACTATCTGAGTTTGGTAGGTAGGATAAATTTGAAAAGAGTTTTTTAGTGTGGTCCTCAGGGTAGAATTTAGCCATAAGCGTGTCGTTAGCCAGTCGATAGGCTGCTAATTAATAATTTCATTGGAAAAATGCTAGTAGCTTTATATTTGAATGACATAATTGGAAAATCAGATTACGTGATACTACTTTTTAAGACTTGAGGTTGGGATGCCTTTTCTTTATGTAAGTAAGTTGCTGTATTAGAAACCATTGGCTAAGATATCTGAATTGGAAAGATACTTGTTTCATCATATGTTTCCAGAAGCTATCTAATTTTGATTTTGTTTTACTCAAATTTGCATCCCAAAGTTGGAATTTGGAGTTGGAAGTTCAAAAGCAATTTTGAAGGCACAATTGGTGTAGCTGTGAGGGTAAAACCCCACGTACTTCTCAACGGACATGACCAAGTTCACCTGTATGAGTTGTCAGGTGGGAGAACCAAACTGGATCACTGGGTAGGACTACTCAGTAAAACAATGACCTGCTTGCTTAGAGAAGCATCACTTTTCCCATTGAGAAATGTGTAGCGAGATAATATCACTTGACTGGGTCAATTCCGTGCCCCCCCAAACCAATACTGTGGAGAAAGATGTAGAGCCAGTTGCCGGTGCTCTGGTACGTGACCGGCAGACTAAATTTGTCATCATCGTCGTCCTTGTTGTCATCATTGTTTCTCATTTCCTCTTGCACAGCCTTATTCTCATAATTGAACTCTGATTCATTTTCACTTTGTTGTTAGCAAACTCCAACAGCAGAATGGCATCTGTGTATTGGTAATCAGCATTCACTCTGGCAGGAGGTTAATCACAGGATGGTCTCAGACATTCATCCTCCCATCAAATATTTCTGGGGAAAGAAAAATTCATTCCCTTTCCATTCTCCACCTCACAAATCTAGAAGCCCTCTTTACCATTGTTCTCTGTAATCTGTCAACTAAAAGAAAATTGCATTATGGGGAGGGCGGTGGGTGGGGTCAGGGTGGGGAGGGTGGAGGGTAGGGAAGCCCCTCCAGGCCAGACTGCAGTTCTTTCCCCTTTCTACTGATGTGAGATGTTACAAGTCATTCAGAGGTCTCGTGTTGGGTTAGGGGCCACAGAACTGCTTTTCAGATCCATGATCAATTCTCATTCTTCTACAAGATTGGAGCTTTGCTGTTTCATTATCTGTGCAGTGTAGACTAATGATGTTTAATAAAATTCATTCAAAATTTCAAACTCATTTTGCCAGTGACCTCAATTTTGTTGGCTCTTTGATTTCTACCAGACTTTGACTTTAGGCGAGAAGAGGGAAGCAAAGGAAGGCTGCTGCTAGGCTTTTAGCAGGACACTACAGCACAAACCCAGGTCTGCCCACCTGCCAGCCCCATCTAGTGAGCAGCAGCCTGCAAACCAGCTGCGAGACACCTGAAGAATGCCCCAGTGCATGCTTTCAATTGGAGAGCTTGCTTCTCCTAAGGGGCTCCCTCTTCTCCAG